TTTAAAGTTAACAAAGGCATAAAAAAGTGTGACAGTATACAAAAACTTTCTGGAATCCTTTGTTTTTGTAATCTTTCATAGTGCTATATGACCTTTGATGTCTAGCACATTTATATTGTTTAAAACATTAACTTTCATAGAGACTACTAACGTCAACCACTGAAAGGTTTATGTAATATGAATTGGGAGCCACTTGCATCTAGTGTAGTGTTGTACATGTATGGATTAGTCCTTATTTTGATATCAAATGTTACCTTTCAGATTTGATATGAGAGAATTCATTTATTTAAAGTGCATTTATGACACAATAGGCAAATATGATTTTCATGCAGAAATGCAAAATTAACCCTCTTATAGCAAGACATATGGAGGGAAAACCTTGAGTGTAAAAGCCTTTACCATGGTGCTGTCTGCTAAAGGTTACTGATTATAGAAATGCATCAAACTCCTGGTCAAATGATAAAAAGGCATTGTGATTACTATAGAGGTAATGCATTATCATAGTAAAGCCCTTTGCAAGAAGCAGCACCATGACCATACTTACTTTATACGGCAGCAACTGCTAATGCAACTTTTAAGTTTGGCAATTGCTACGTCTTACTTTGAGAGGAGTTACTCTAGTACATTTCTTTTTTTCTCTTGTGACTTGCCTTTTCATTACAAAAGTATATCTTTGATATAAAACTTGTCAGTAATCTAAGGGAATCCTGCACTATAAGACTAAATGTTTATAAATGTTGAGGACTTTGAATCTGTTTTACATCTATCTATCCATTTCTAAGCGAAGGAAAAAAAATTAAGTTAAGTACTGTTTTTCCCTTTACATTTCTGTAATGGGTATAAGTAATATTGTACAAAATACATCCTTTATTGTAAAGGTTCGCTTGTAAAGTCAAATGAATATTGTTCAACACATTTTGTAGTTCAGATTGACAAGAAAAAAAAATGTATATATGCCACAGGGTTCATTAGCTAAGAGTTAGTTAATTTTTACAGATACATGAACATATAAATTACACCAAAGAATTTAAATGTTTTTATGACATTTATTGATGGACTCTTTTGTATATTTTAAGTGCAAGGACTTCAATTCAGCTTTTACTGATAATTGTAAAGCCTTGTTTCATAAAGAACTCAACCATTTGATTCACATTAAAAGAATATAATTTCATTTGTTTGAAAAATAAGTTGAAGTGTGGGTCATTCAGCTCCTTATCATATGCAATCTTATTAGAGATTCTTTAATTACATTTTTAATTTAGTGTCCACTAAATGCAGCCTAGTTTCAGTTGTACTCATTAAAAAAAAGAAAACAGCAACATGATCTTTAGGGGACATTGTTATTTTAATACCAAAACTATTTGGCACAACTAATGACTAGATATGTTAAATAAATAACATATACATTAGTGCTTGACATTACAGATAGATATTAATGACTAGGACTTACAATGGTATATTACTGGTCTCTTCCTTTTGTCTGTTTGTAGGCCAAAAATAACACCATTTATACATCATCTGAGATTGTATAGATATTTTTTCTTTTACACTGATTTTTATTATCTCTCCAGTAGCAATATTCTTCCTTAAAACTGGTATTTATTTAGCACAGCAGAAATCTACACACTACACGGTGTTGAATCTAAAGTGTCAGTTGGTTCAGGATTTGCTTTGATAGATTCCAGCTCCTCACTTCGAGAACTCTCATCCATGACATCCCTGCAGAGCAGTGTGAAGCAAGATGCATTAAGTATATATGGGCAATGAGGCAATCAAGTTTCAGATTTATTTACAAGCTGATATTTATAAATATTTAAAGAAAAGGCAGAGTAGAAGAAAATATCTAAGTCATATCTAAAGTTCATACACAATGAATTTCATATTTGATTATTTATATGAAAAGCAATAACTATATAGGTCATGACATGTTAGATTTACAAGTTCTCACAAATGCAGGTATACTGTTAAATCAAGTAGGTATGCAGTAATCAGAAGCAAGTTATCATTTTATAAACAAGAATTAACTGAAAAAAGGAAGTGCATAAGTAAAACTTTGGTTTACTCACCTGCGGCAGTAAATGATAAGCACGACCACGGCCACATTGCCTATGACCAAAATAGACATAATCACTGTTGGAACCACTAGATCTGTCAGAGTATAAAGCTAAAAATTAGAAACACTTAAATAGGTACTGAGATGTTTCTCGGACTTGTTTTAAGGTGAATATTTAATGACACTGAAAGTGAACATAATGTAAATGTAACAAACCAGATGATAGTTTTTAAGTAAAGATGTTTGATATAAAGATGCATTTAATTTTAAAGATGCACCAAGGCATGTTTGCAATGATTTCACTGACAGAAACCAAGGGTTGTGTGGAAACGTTTTGATGTCTCATGTATATGTTTGAAGAAAATTTACCAAACTGAAGATGAATGGAGTGTGAGCAGTGCGCATGCAACTGGCAGCAAGGGGAAGGTTGACTTTGGCAGAATTGGGACAGGAGAAAATAAGGAAATGGGGTGTCTTTAACTGCTATTTAGAGGGACTTTGCTGCAAGCTTTATTGAATCCCTAAAGGACACATACTACCTTGGCTGTGGGGAGTGGATAGGTTTATTAATATTTGGTGCTGAGCTCTTTTTTTATGGCATTTCAGAGCTCTTTTTATAGCATTTCAAGCATTGCAATGCAAGAAGGGCTTATTCCATTTTAAAAATTAGAAAATTAAAATGACTAAAGATGTAACAAAAATATATAGAAAACAGACCTGAGAAAATGACTTTAAAATGAATTAATAGAAATCTCAAGCTTTATGCTAAAACACATAAAGAAGATCAAAAAAGAAATATATAAGAGCTGTAAAAGATCCAGTGAATGAGATAACTATTATCGGGGAAACTTAATTCGAGAAATATGGCTTTTGATAAATAGGAATGAACAGAAAAGGAATATATATTGTTTCTTGTCCATACCATATACTATGTGGGCTTCTTGATACATTTCTGCATGTGCACCATTTGTAGATCCATTAATAAGTCCAGTGAACTCTTTCTCTGTGATATTACCAACTTCCAGCAATTCTTGAAGCTCTGTACAGAAAAGAATTGCTTTCTGATACAAATATAAAACACAATTCAGTAGTATACTCTTGTGCTTTTCACACTGAAGATGAAAGTCATACGATAAAAACGTATCAACTTATTTTGCAAAATGTTTGCCAGGCAATAGGAAAATTTCATGTTAAAAAATACTTGTACATATAGTAAAGAATTTTGCTACAATGTTTGTGAAGTAAAATTTCTAAAAATATGGAATAATTTTCTTCAAAATCAAAACACGCAAATCTTCATATACACAATGCCTACCAATGCAGTCAGGAACTGTATCATTCCAGGAGCTTCCTCGGTTGCATTTCAATATTCGACGACGCTCTAGAGTGTCTGGGAATACATGATGGACGCAACACCAGTATTCAGCATGAGTTGCATTGCGAAATGATCGGTAACCATCCTCAGGAATGGGTGGCGATTCGCAGCCCAGAGCTGTACAAAATAATCAAAACTTGGATTACTATGTATCACTTCCAGACCAAAAAGCACTGAATAGAAAAGCAGATGTTAAGTTTGTGTTGTGCTTTTGTGCTACTGACCAATGTATATACATCTTCAGCAACAAACAGGCCATGAAAATAATAACTGCTATATAAATTTATGTTTCCAAATATCTGAAAAAGTGCATGAGTGTCTTCCATTTTTGTAAAAATTTTATTTACATTGTTTTGTGGATATGTAGTTATAGACCGTAATGAGATTTAGCCCCTTATAAAAACAAAGTCTCACCTTCATAGTAAGCAGCATAACCTCGTTTTGGGAATACATCTGTGACTGCATTGAAGTTCAGACTCAGAACTGGTCCCTCAGAAGTAACTGTAATTGGCTGCTTAATCTCACCACACATTTTTAACAGTTCCTTCCTGCCTTCAGTCACTGAGATACTATCTCTACATTCATCCTCATTTGGCTGGACTATATCTGAGGAAATAAAATTAATCTATTTAATCAAATCAAATAAAGAGCTCCTTGTAATACTTAGAAATGATATAGGTTACACTTTCCTTTCTGCAGCTGCAAATAACAAATAAGAATACTAAGCCATCTCATTATCAAAATAAAACTTTTTACCTCTTATACTGAGATCCGTCAGTGTGAGTTGAATTTGCTGGCCTTCATCCACTTTTATGGTTATAGTGCAGGGCCCATTGCCTCCCAGGTAATACTGAGGATAGCCAACAGTCTGCAACCATCCTGACTGTGCACTCACTTCACTGTCGCACACCCTGACAATGTCTGTTTCTGAAAGGCAAAGGATTAGCTTGTAGTATGAACCTTTAAAACAACTTTAGGGTATACATACTGTGAACACAACAAAGGGGAAATGAATGTTATTTGAAAAGATTCTATAGTCTTGTTTATTCTGGAATAATAATAATAGATAATAACAACAAAAGAGTCAGATATATTAGATAAACAAGCTAATATGAAACTGATTACAAGGAATTAACTTTACCTAATATAATTGCTTAATAAAACCATATCACAAACTAATTAAGCAAGAGTTTGCTTCTCTAATTAGTTAATTTCTCTCCTACTCATCTATATCTTTTTACAAATGCACACACACACACACACACACACACACACACACACACACACACACACACACACACACACACACACACACACACACACACACACACACACACACACACACACACACACACACACACACACACACACACACACACACACACACACACACACACACACACACACATACACATGCAGTTGTAACTACATACACTACAAAATCATCACCCCCCCCAACACAAACAAACAAGCATTTTTTGTAGTTTGCGTGCCAGGTGTCCTCGCGCATCACTCACTCCTTAGGCAGTCGTAGGTGACCCTCAAGACTCCGTCCTCCCACAACTCCTTCTT